TATTTATACTCCCTCAGGCAATGCATGTAATATGTGAGTGCCTTTTTCCTCACCCTTTGCCAATCCAGATGTTATCAAACGGACTTTCAATTAATTTTATACAAATTCTTCACTCCTATAGGTTAATTTCATCATAACCCTCAAGCTCATCATTCAAAAAATATTTACGAGGTGCCCACTCTGTGAAAATGGGATGGGTTCCTGAATAGAGAAGAAGCGAGACATATGAATGAGATAAACAAGAGCTAAAATTCAGCAGAAGGGAAGACTGTTTCCAACCTGGGTAAAACCTCCCTGGAAGAAATGAAAACTGGCCTGCCTTCTACAGGACACAAATTTGGAGAGAGGAAGGAGCCCCAGGAGGAGGCCAGGACAAGCAGTCCGCCAGAACAGAAAAAACCATGACATGGCGAGTGGCAGCCCAGCTTGAGAAGAGAAGACAGTGCTCCAGTGGCGGCTCAAAGAGTGACAAAGCAGGGCCTTAGTGTGGAAGGAATAAAGAGTCAGCGGAAAGAACACTGTATTGAGAGTTAGAATTTCCACTTTTGGCCTTAGCTAAATCATCTTGAGAAAAACTAGTTTATCTGGGTTTCAGTTTCCTCACTCGGAAAACAGGAAGGCTAGCCCTGAGGCCAAACTTTCTGTAGCTGCAGAACTGCGTGTCTAAAGTGAACCTTACGGGGAGGACCACTGATAAAAAGCAGAACTATGCTGGAGAAGGGGACAGAGGGAACTCCTCAGCCCCACGTCCTGGCTGCTCCATCCTGACAACACTAGTAGGCTCTAAGAAACTCAGGATTACGCAAAGCATAGTTTGAAAGCAACCAGGCCTAGGTAGCCAAGGTTCCCTTCCACTCGAAAAATTATTCCAACTTTTCCCTCAGTGCTGGACATAATGACTTGTACCTTCACTTCTATTCTACTTGCCTACAATTAATTCACTGATTTAACACACATTCAAGAGTACAAGCTATATCTCAGGTGTTGTTCTAGGAATTGCGGAGACAATGGTTAATAGTACAGTGATTCTTCCCTCTGGAGTTCAATTTCTATTTGGATGGGAGAGAAAAAGGAACAAAGTTATAAAATGTCAAGAGAATGAGTAAGAGGGAAAAGTGTAGTAAAGAGGGTGGGGGTGAACTGCTTTACCCAGCATAATCCTGCCGTCTTCACGCCAGGATTCTTCCATTCAGTCTTTTCATCCTCACAGAGCATTTGTTCTTTTTTTCTAAAACCCTGCAGCACTTTGGACCCTGCATAAGCCTCTGCCACTTGTTAACTGTTTGACTGCACTGGACTTGTGTCACCAGATTGGAAGCCTCTTGAGGGTATTATATCTTCTTAGATAGGCACAGCAGGCCTACTCAGCACAGACTGAGCAGGCACTAAAGACAGGCTGACTGCTATGACAATACTACCATTTTAGAATTGCAGATATGATCTTAAAAGTTTCCTTTTCCCAAGACCCTGAGCTAGAATTTTCAAGAAGATAAAAAAGCAGAATCAAATGAAAAAAATTTTACTCAAGAGAAAACCAAACTGGATTTGGTAAATGGTAAGGATGGCCAGGTGGTCCAGGTGTTTGCCACAGAATCTAACCTAAGACAAACACGAACTAGACAAGGGAAGCAGATGGTGTGGAACTGGAAGGGAGGATGTTGGTGCAACTGCCTTGTGCCAGCCCAGTGAACAGATGAGAATGTGCAGAAGAAAAGGACAGATCCAGAGTCCCCTGCCCACTAGGTCTCTCACCCACCTCCGTGCGGGAATGGATGCCAGGCCCTACAACCCTCCCCTCACCCACACATCCCCCTCAGCCTTCACACCCCTGCCCCCTTCCCAGGTAGCTCAATGCTCTGCTCCGCACCTCCAGGCTTAAAAGCTGTCAAGGGCAACCTTGCCTCCTACCACACAGAGCTCCCCTCTCCTTTTATAGCAGAAAATAAGTATGTCTGGGTTCTTTTTTTACTATCAAAAAATCTGAGAATTTCCTACATGACATCAGTTGTACTTTTAGTACCTAGGGCTGAGAAAACAAAGAAGCCAAAAGCTACTGTGACACAAATGTTCACAGAAGCACTATTTACAAAAGCTGAAAGATGGAAACCCAAATGTTCATAAATGGATCAATGGATCAACAAATGTGGTATATCCACACAACGAACTATCATTCAGCCATGAGAAGGAATGAAGTAATGACACATGAAACAACACGGATGAACTTTGAAAACATTATGCTAACGTAAAAGCAGCAAAACAGAGAAGGCCATATATTGTTATGATTCCATTTATATGAAATATCCAGAATAAGTAAATCCAGAGACAGAAAACAGATTAGTGGTAGCCCAAGGCTGAGGGAGAGGGCAGGAGGGAATAACTGTTTATGGGTCCAGGGTGTCCATGTGGGATGATGAAAATGTTCCAGAACTAGATGGTGGTGATGGTTCTAGAACACTGTGCATGTATTAAATGCCACAGAATTGTACATTTTAAAATGGTTAAAGTAGTAAATTTTATGTTATGTGTATTTTATCACAATAAAAAAGGTACTGTGAATCCAATAAAATTAAAAAAATTGTATCTTACTAATTTCTAAAATGTAACTTGAAAACAGGAACTATGGACACTGAAAAACAAAACCACATTTACATATGTAAGCACTTATTCACTCCCCAAACAACGCCTGGTGTGAACCTGGATTCTCAGAACTCCTGCACGACTACAGCTAATAATATGACAATAATGACGAACAAATATTAAACTAGGCACTCACAATTAATCCTGTGAGATAATTAGCCTCATTTTACACAAGATAAAATAGACACAGAGGCTAAGGCACCTGCCAAAATTGAAGAGCCAGCAGGTGGCAAAAACCTCAGAATTTGAATCTCAAGCTAACTAGTTTCAGGATGTATGTTCTTAAGTCACGGCCCCAGGGACTCACAATGCAGACTGTCCTCACCTCGGCCCAATCCAGCCTCTCTCTCACTGTCTACCCACCCTAAGCATCATTCCACACAGAGACCCAACCCCCTACTCAGCCTTTGCATTTGCAGCAGCAATAGGAAGGCGGATGCCTTCCACCTGAAGCATCTATCTCAAGTACTGCTGTCACGCATCTGCAGCCAGGCACTGCCTTCTCTCCTCCCTGCAGGTTATGTGGTGGTGGAAGGAATGCGGCTGAGGGCTCCAGGGCTCTTCCTAACCCTCCTTCACTATTCTTAAAACGTGCACTGGTGCCCGCAAACACTGACTGAGAGCCCATTTTCTCCAGAAGACAAGAACAAAAGAACTACTTTTATGCCCCCAGCAAAACCAAAGGTGCCTTGTGCACTGCTGGACAACAATATCGAATGCAAACCTATGAGCCACAAGACTGAACCATTTTGTTTGGCTGGCATAACTTTTTTGAGCACTGACAATATAATCTGAATGACCTCCCCGGGCCACCCAATCCCGGTGTGCCATTGTGCAGCCCGGCATTATCTTGTGACCTGCTGCTCCTGCCATGTAAGCTATCCTGACCTAGCCATTAATTGACTGACTCATTACTTACTCCCAATGATTTTTCCTCCTATCACCACTCTTACACATGTAAATCATGGCTGGAAAAGATACTAAGAGACATAAAAGGGCAAAACAGATGTTGTTTTCATTAGAATATACATTTTACTTCTGAGGATAAAAAATCCTACATAATTTCAAAGGCAGAAACAGCTCCAGAACTGAAATAGCTTCAAACATAACACACCTGAAATCTAAAATCTCCCATGACAAGGATCATGTATCAGTGCTCCCAAGTACTTCTAATCAGGGAGGGGACGCTAACAGAACAGGACCCAGCCTAGCAGAAGGTCACTGCTGGAAGTATCAGCAACCCCAGTGATTTCTGAGAAAAGGTCAGGGGCCTTTGTTTTAGAAGGTTTACACTTCAATTTCAACAGCAAAGTGAGACATTTAGTATTTGAGTTATTTCTGTTCAGCTTATAACAATGTTCAGGTTCAGGGAAGAAACACCAAAAATGAAATGGAAAAGACCATGAAATGAAATGTTAACTACACATGTTGCGCTTTGCCATGACAAAACAAGGGGTGTCCCTCATTTAAAAGCTTTAGCTCCCTCTAGACTAGCAAGAAGAGGGTCACAGGTTGTCTTTAACATGTAAACAGTCCACAGCTGTCCACTGCAAAGCCAAAGCAACACCCAATCAGGGGTGTCCAACCCATGGCCCGTGGGCCGCATGCAGCCCAGGATGACTATAAATGCAGCCCAACACAAAATCCTAATTTTTTTTTCTTTTTTCTTTTTTTTGCTCATCAGTCAGTATTCATTCGTGTTTGTGTATTTAATGTGTGGCCCAACACAAATCTTCTTCCAGTGTGTCCCAGGGACACCAAAAGGTTGGACACCACTGGAAGCAGTGAGTTAATATTTACAAATAGTGGCAAATACAAGGGCCTTAATTTGGAGCAGGAAGGGGGTACAGGGTTTTCATACTACAGGGAGGGGGTAAAATAAAGGTTTTCATACCCTTAAACAATTTTTTTATTAAGTCAAAAGCCTAAAGTACAAACATTTACATCTAGTAAGAATTGAAACGGAAAGCTACACAACTGCTGAATTGAGATGTTCTACCATCAACCATTTCCCACAAATGACAATTTTAGGCTAACCTAAGGTACTGAAAATTTGTATGTAATAAATTTTTGCTTTATTAATCTATTGTAAAACTGTTTCTCCCCTCCCCACCATGGAAACAAACCTCTATATATCCGAGGTACACTGAGATTCTTAAAGTGATCACTTGTGCAAAGGTGAAATCCGCATAAAAACAAACCACCTTTTCTCCAACCCTCTGGTCTTTCTGCTGCATAGCCCAGACCTAAGCTCCAGGTTCATTTCAGTATAGAAATATAGGCCATACAAGAAAGGGAGAAAATAATTCTTAGATGTAAGAGGCAACAGGTTAAAATGTCACTGAGCAGTACATAGTACTTACTGCTGGTTCAACTTGACTTCGATCTGCAATATCTATGTGGACAATTTCAACAGTTTTCCATGTATTTGGATCTAAACCATGTACCTATAAATGACAAAGAGAAATGAACAAAGCGTAGACTATTCTTGCTAAGCAAAACTGTTATATTTATGTATATAAGCTTTATCCTGAGTCTCTCAGAGTACACTATGAGGTATTAAAAAAAAATCTAAATTGCTATTTAATTAAATTAGCTGCTGAAGTCTTGAGGGATCTAGAAATCTCTTGTTATTGCTGAAAACCCCAAATAACAAGGGAGTAAGTGGGGTTAGGATGCTGCCAAATTAACAGAAATCTGTTACAGTACTTTCTGATGGTCCTTAGAGATGATTTTTTTAACAAAATGTACCTAACCCACGTTTAACCCAAATAATACATGATGAAGTCCTTATAACCTCCAAATGCCAGGCACACATAATAAGATTTCAAAAAGCTGCACTGTATAGTCTAAAACCTCTCCTGAATTTGATTATCCTAAAGCTAATCAGTTTCAGTATGATGTTAACACCTCTATATTTCATGTGGGTCAATCATTTATTTCTGAAACTCCATCTATGAAACAATTAAGAACTGTTTAAAAACTGCCAAAGATATACCCATTTGAAAGGTGAAAGATATCAAATCATCTCATTTAGACTCTAAATTTTAGAGTTACAGTAAAAAACAACATGAAATATCAAGTGATCGCCTGGATTAAAAACTCAAGTCAAAATACTACAAATTATAATCCAAAAGCTCTATTAATTGGAACCATAAAAACACAGTAAAAACGGTTTTTTACTAAAATCATCATCAACTTACTCTCCTATACAACAATGTATCCTAAGGATGGAGCAGCAGTTCTCACTCAGACACCAGGAAACAGATTGCTGGGCCCCGTCCCCAGAAATTCTAACTAAGGAGGTAAGGGATGGGACTTGCATTTGTAACAAGTTCCCAGATGCTCCTGCTAATCTGGGGACCATGCTTTTGATTCCCGCAGTTGTGCACTGCTGGACAACAACATCGAATGCAGCAGTTGTGATGCATTCAAGTAGTGTCAACCTATACCAGAGGGCATCTACCTATACCAGATGCCCTCCCACGCTCCCTAATAGACCTTACCAAGAGTTATGATTACGCTGAGTCTTAACTCATTTTCTTGAAATTTATTTTAGAGATAAATGTGCACCAACTTGTAAAAATCAGGAACTCGTCAACATTTTTTTTACATTATCCATTTACATGTACCTTTCTCCCTCATTTTGGCCACTTCTCTGACATCAACCCATTTCCCAGCAAAACGGAATGAAGGTGAAAATTAAAGCAATCCATTTTGCTATGGAGAGCAGCTCTGGCAAATACACAGAGATGAAAAGTTATGAAATCTAAAATATAATGGCTAAAATTGGTTTGGGGATTATCTGCAAATTTAGTTCATCCATGCTCTCACTGTCTCAGGCAGAGTTGCTAATAAAAACAGCAACCCCACCAAAGTCCACTCATGCACTAAGGTGAGGAGAACGATCAGAAAGCCCAGTTGTTTCTGGTTGCTTGCTTGCCTCACCGCACTCTGACACACCCTTGGGTGGCCAGGTGCTAGTCTAACACAGGTGGCATCATTTTGGCGATGACAAAATGGACTATAGTATTCTCATTTCTAGGGGCTTCTTCAATGAAAGCCCAGAAGTAAGACTTACATTTTCTAAAGTTCCCAAGTCTGGTTTGTGCCACGTTTCAATTTTAATGAAGAAATCATCTTTCATATATTCATTCTGCAGAAAACACAACAGTAAAATGAGAGGGATCTTTCAGCAGTTCTTTGGGGCTCATGTCTGCGGGAGCCTTCCGCAGCATAAGCACCCCATGCCTTTCATTCTACAAGCCTGATCCTCAAATGACAAAGAATCATTAGCTACCTATTTTCATACATTTATCAGGCAAACCAAATGCTACATGCTTTTAAGTAATTCAAACGACACTACTTGTTATGCAGCATACAGGACTAATATTAAAGAAGGTACGAGGCTTGGTAAGCAAATCTGGCATTCAAAGGAAGTAGCAGAAGCAAAATAACGTCAAGAGGGAGATTCTGAGACAAGGCTAGAGCAAGCCCATTACCCCTGGGAACATGTGGTAGAGTGTAGGCTGCACAGAGAAGGAGCCATGCAGTGGCGAGCAGTTTTAGTAAGAAAGCAAGGAATAGTTGAAAATAATTACTATACAAAGCAAAGTTTAAAGATGGAGAGTATGTGACACAAAAACAGTTTTACTCACCGTTACAACTGAGACATATGAACAGGTAGGCAATAAAAGGGGAAAAATTTCAGATTAATTGGAGTTACAACAATCTGTCACAATATTTAATGTCACAAGGTTAAACTACCTGAAAATAGAACGTTTAATAGTTTACATCTGCAAAGCACAATTTCTACACAAGTCACACTGTAGGATACTTTAGATTATGGAGTCAGTAATCTAATTCTAAAACAATGGTAAAAGGAAGAATGACACAAGAGCAAAAACACCATTTATAATACTAATTTAACAAAAAACTGTTTCAGAAGCTGCCATAACCCCCCTCTACTACATGGCAATATAAGTAATTACTGTTCAAACTACACCAGAAGACACTTCTGAGTGTGGATGATCTTTCCCTAAGGTTTCTATACAGGCATACCTTGGAGATACTGCGGTTGATTCCACACCACCACAATAAAACAAGCATCACAACAAAGTCATACTCTTTTTGCTGGTGGAGTGTCTTGCCTGTACTTTGTAAAAAACACAACATCTGTGAAGCGCGACAAAATGAAGCGCAATAAAACAAGGTATGCTTCTCCCTATTCCTTTCATTTGCTGACCCCTGGAGCCTGTGCAGTCAGCAATAACCTCAAAGGGCTGTCATCTGAGAATGAACCCATGCCCCTCACAAAGGTCTGGGGGGCAGGGGAGGAACCCAACGCAATCTCTCCTCTGCCACAGTCAGTGCAGTGTCTATCCAAGAACCCACAGAGAGGCTTGCTTGGTCTGTCACCCTTCTCAAAGGTGTCCTCATTGGTGGGAATGGCTGCTGGGAACCAGGCTTACTTGTTCTACAGTAGGGATATGCGTTCCAGGCTTTCTCGTGAAATACCAAGGAGCCCTCGGGAGCAATCATCCTCACAAATGCAGGAACTTTGCTGTGAGGAGAGAAATATTGGATATATTTTCAACAGCACCATCACTTCTTTCACACTGCTTCAAAGGGTATTGTAATCAAAGGTCATTATGTTCTAGGCTTCATGAACTCATAAAACTGTTACCAACAGTTTTATCCTCATTCCCAAAGAAATCAAGTGGAAAATGAATGTAAAAACAACAAAATTATCATGATATGTTTAACCATATGCAGCATTTTTTAAAAAAGAGAAGCAATTCTTTCTTACGGGCTTCTGATCTACCTCCGTAATGAAGTCCAAGAGTTAACTGAAGCCATTCAACCTGCCCATAACACAACACAGAAGTTCTCTAATGTAGTTAAGACAACACTACACTGATTCTTAGAGCAAAAAGCAGCCCCAGAATAAGGGAGCATTCCTGAGTAAAAGTTTTTGCATATTTTACAGAATAAACGTAAAGAAAAATGACAAGAAAGGAGATATTAAAACAGAGCCAAGTATAAAATTTTGTAGGTCTGGGAGATGAACGTCACTTGCTGTCTCAAGAACCCTAAGATATTGAGAAAGATCCCAACAGAAAAAACAGGCAAAGGCTATCCAGACACATGAGAGATAAAAACACAACTGGTTAACAAACAAATGGATACAACAATCTTACCAGTCTTTAAAAAATGCAAATGAAATGACCATTTTAAATGATCGCTTCATCATGTAAAAGCAGTTTTACATGTACAGGCCTTCACACAGTTTGGACTCAAACCCCAACATCACCACTTGGAAGAGGTGTGACCTTGGGCATATTTTTGGCTCTCTGAATGTCACGTGTTGAATGGAGTTTGTATTACATACTTTGTAGGGTTACTGAGAGGATTCAATCAAATAATATCTTGTAATGTGTTTAGCACATTGTGTAGTACAATGAGTGTTCAATAAATAATAGTTACTGCTTTTTAATTATAAGCTGACATGGAGCTTGGTACTTTCACATGCCTTTCTTCACTTAAATCCTCTAATAACACTGTGAGGTAAGCATTCATATAACCAGCATTGAAGAGGTTATATAACTGTATGTTAAAATTATATCCTCTAACTACAAGCCCTGTTACATACGTTTTTCCAGTATCAGAGCTGCTTTTCTGAGAACTTTTCAAGCACAACTTAATTTCCTAAAACAAGGAAATGTAGGACCCAGAATGGACCTCTGGCCCCATGATAAGATTGAACAGTTGATCAGAGAGATGTAAGGAATCCCACACCAGCCAGAGAGCTGTGAGGTTACAGAAGAAGTAATGTGAACAGCCCTTTTGTGGTCTCTCCAGAACACAGACGCAGGTACATGACTGGAGCTTCCACTATTGTGGCAAATTAAATCACCAGAAAAGCTGAAGTACTACTATTGCACGTGGCAGTACAAGCATGATTCCAAAGGCATAAAGGAATTTACCTGTGCCTTTACATCCTTAAAAGATAACAATGAAAGAGGGCTAATTCTCTGAGCACTTATTCTTTTCAAATCTTGGGAAGATTCATGCAAAGGGGTATAACTTCAGAAAAATGAAGCCAGGATAACTGAAAATAATATCACATTAAAAGTCTAATGATATCCAGTAGTTCAAATTATTTCTTCCATTATCTAAAATCCCTTTAAATGTAGGAGAGGTCTAATCAGAGTATAATGTAATACACATGGGTGATTTTTTTTTTAATACACGCTACAAGATCACTCATCTCTCTGAGAATATAACAAATATCAATGGTTCATTAGGTTAACTTAGAAAAAAATCAAGAAAAAAATTAGCTGTGCACTAGCTCAGAAACATACTTTACCACTATCCTATTTATTTTTAGGGTGCCCAATATTTTGAAAACCTTATTATTTATCAAAAGTTGTAAAATTTGCTGACCCAAACATAAGAAAATTAACAACCAAGTCATTAAAAACCCCCAACAGCCAAATCTACAAGAAAGCTTTAATATGTCTTCACTTTACTCTCAAACTGCCTACTATCTTACTTCCAGAATGCTTTTTCCATAATATGAGTTCTAATAATTCATTTTAAGTTTTGACTTAGGCACAACCAAACCTTTAAGCAAATTTTATTTCTAATTTACTGGTTTTTTACATTTAACATGAGAGCATTAACAAACACACCTCTCCTCTCAATGAATCTAGTTGACTAAACTCGGGGAAAATGAAATGCAGTAAATAAAATTAAATTTCAACTCTATTTTACAGGAGAGAAATTTTCATTACTGGTAAGTTTAATCCTAACAAGGCAATTCAAGCATGCCACTTATATATAGTACTGAGAGCATAGCACATACCGTATTTTGCCGTGTATAATACGCTCCCATGTATAGTGTGCACACATGTTTCTGTGTATATTATACACAATTATTATGCCCATTTTACATAATCATTATACCCATGTATAATGCGCACCCTTATTCCTCCCTCAAAAATTTGGGCATAAAAGTGTGCATTACACATGACAAAATACAGTACATTTATTTTTCACCTCTGTATCACTTAGGAACTCACTTTAGTAAAATGAAGGAAATTCTGTTTTGGAAGTTTAGAGTCTCAGAAAAGGGACATATGCTTACTGAATTAACAAAATGGTGTTAGTTTAAAAACAAATTAGGAAGGAGATTCTTCCTCTTGTTCTCCCAAACTATTCATGAAATATTCTCTCCTAATAAACCAAGAGTGATAAAAGTGCTTACCTCAATGTAAACTTAATCTAGATTTCAGCTGTTAAAAGTCAGCCATAGCATAATGGCCAAGAGTACAAAGGTTCTTTGCCAATACATAGCCTCATCCCACCTGAAGGTTACTTAATAATATTTAACTTCAGGGTAAAATTCAACTGAAGTGTTTTATCCATTGTCTTGAGAAGAGACAGTATTAAGCTCTAAGCTCAGGAATATCAAATGGCTGTGAACCTGTTTTGCATTAAGACAGCTTTGTCACAGTGGCACCAGAAAACAAAGGGGCTAATAAGGCTTAAAAGACACAGAATAAATGACCATCATGTACATTAAACTTTTCCTGATCTAGGAGCATTCTTAAAAAAAAAAATCCTGTTCCTGAGATACATAATACCTTGGCAAATCATTTCCAACTGGTCTTTTCCCATACAATTTTTACATCTACTTGTAAATAAAATGAATAAAACTTCTCAAAGATCCACTTTCCCATCCTTTTCCATGCTACTGTGGATAAACATCAAAATGTAGAAAAACATGGGGAAGAATCTGAAGACCAAATTAATTGGCCACCAATAAAGCAAGTGATCTTTCATTTTATAATCAACCTTAATATATCTTAAATCCACTGGACACTTCATTCATTCATTCACTCAAGCATTTACTGGGTGTCCACTGTGCCAGGGGAAGTGTGAAAAATGGTGTGCTAACAGGGGTAATCCCTACCCAGAGCTCATCTTCCAGGGAGGAAAAGCAGAAAACATACTGGCAAACTAAAAAAGCAGAGAATTACCTTTCCTGAAATGGAGTGAAGTTAAGGAACAGGGCACTGGGCAGTGAATACCTGGGACAAGGCTGATCATGAAGGCCTCCCTGAAAAAGTAGTTGGCCCAAATGCGAGGGCCAGCCACATGAAGACATGAAGCGAGAGTCCTAAAAGAGCAGAAGATGTGGCCTGCTTGGGCCACCTCACGGGCCTCCAGCATGGCTAGACTGCAGTGAACGAGGAGCAGAGGGGCGCAAGCTGAAGATGGTGAGGTGGGCAGGGGACAGACAGATTACAGGGGCCCCTTGTACGGCCACAGAGTTTGCATTTTATTCTTTGTATGATGGGAAGCTACTGAAGCCTTTAAGAATGGAAACGACATAAACTGATTTAAGTTTTAAAATCATTCTGGCTTTGTGTGGAAGATTAATGGGAGTGGGCAAGGATAGAAAAAATTTACTCAAAGTGGATTAAAGACCTAAATGTAAAAGCTAAAGCTATCAGATTCTTAGAAGAAATACAGATTAAATTTTTCTGTCTTTGGATTGGACAATGAAGATATGGCACCAAAAGCATGAATAAGAAAAAATAAGTAAATTGGACTTAATCAAAATTATAATTTTTTTAAGATTCAAATCATACTATCAAGAAAGTGAAACAACTCATGGAATGAGCAAATAATTTTGCAAATCAAGTGTCTGATAGGGATGTAGTATCCAGAATATACAAGGAACTCTTACAACAAAAGGACAACCCAATTAAAAATGCGTAAGGTACTTCTCCAAAGATCTACAAACGACCAATACGCACATAAAAAGATGCTCAACATAAATCAACAGTGAAGTGCAAATCAAAACCACAATAAGATACCACTTCACACTCATTAGGATGGCTACTATTAAAACAAAAACCAAAGACCTGGAAACAACAAGTATTAGCAAGGATGTAGAACCTTGATACCCTGTTGGTGGGAATGTAAAGTGGTGCAGTCATTTTGGAAAACAATTGGGCAGTTCTTCAAAAACTGAAAAGGTAGCATGTGATCTGGCAATTCTGAATGTAGGTGTGTGTTTGCATGTAAGTGCTGGTATATGTATATGTATACGTATATGTGTATACATATAAAACCAAGAGAAATGAAAACACACACATAGAAACTTGCACAAAAATGTTCATAGCAGCATTATTTATAATAGAAGAATGAACGGCAAGAGATCAGTCTGCAGGCAACTGGAGAAGTTCAAGAGAGAGAATGGTAACTTGCTTTGATGTGAGAGCTATGTAGGTAGAAGAAAGAAATGGAGAGATAAAGAAAGAAGACTATAAAGTAACTTACAATTCCCTGATTTGCAGGAAAGAAAGAAACTTCTGGGAAATGGTATAGTTTTCAAAAATTACAAATAGAGAAAAATGTATTTTTCACATAACAAAAAGGAGCTCAATGAGAAATGAAATTACAGTTGGCCCTTGAACAATGTGGGTACTGGGGCACCAACCCTCCTCACCCTCTGCAGTCAAAAATTAGTGTAAGAATTTTGACCCTCCC